CATGTTGTTTGTGTAAATTACCCATGATGAAATAGGCAAATGCATTGAAAGACTAAAAAAAAAAATCACTGAAGCTAAACAAAGCCTCTCAAAATAATGCTGGCTGACACACTGATGCCAGTGGGCTCCTAGACACTTAGCTAGCAGGAGAAACCTGCACTACATGGGGCCCACCCTCCTAAAATAATTCTGTTCTTTTGGGGGTTCTTTCTTGTATCGCACATACAATTATGTATAATACATAATGCTTGATCGTACAAAACTATGTTACTGATTTATACATTTTCTATATTATACTTTTAATTGTTATTGTCTAGTGTACTTATAAAAAAGTTAGCTGTAAAACAACAGCTTTAGGCAGATCCTTCAGGAAGTATTCCAGAAGAAGATGTTGTTGTCATAGAAGATGACAGCTCCCAAACGTGTTATTGCCCCTGAAGGCATTCTAGTGGGACAAGATGTGGAGGAAGATGGTAATATCGGTGATCCTGGCTGTGTGCAGGCAAAGGTTAATAGATGTGTTCCTGTCTTAGCTTTCAATAAAAGTTTTGAAAAGTAAAAAACGATAATAAAAGTTTTTCAAGTAGAAAAAAGCATATACAATAAGGATATTAAGAAAATATATCTGTATAGCTGTACAATGTATTTGTGTTTTAAGATATATTAACATGTGTTTGAAGATGTATTGTTGACAAAAGAGTCAATAAATTAAATATAAAATTTAAAAAAGAAAAATGTTAATATTAATAAATTATAAATATCAATTTATTATTGAAGAAAGAAAAGTATATTTTATATCTTGAGTGTAGCCTTAGTACACAATGTTTATATAATTTACTATAGTGTGCAGTAATATCCTAGACTTGCTCCAAATTCACTCAACACTCGCTCACTGACTCAGCAAGAGTAACTTCAGTTCCATTGGTGGTAAATGTCCTGTACAGTATATCATTTATTTTAATTTTTATTCTTTTTAATTTTAAAGATGTGGGGTACAATTCAGTATTAGACACAAAAGTAGTCATTATATAGGTAATGTTTGGACTTCCCTTTGGTCCCCACTTTGTATAGTTTGAGATCAGGTACCCTCACTGATACTCTTAATCCCTTTCTTATAGTGTTATGGTAAATGCTCAGGGTCTGCTTAAGAGTGAGAACATGTGGTAACCAGTTCTTTGTTTCTGTGACAGATTACTGAGTATTATAGACTCCAAATCCATCCAAGCTGCTGTGAAATCCATAATTTTGTCCTATTGCAGCATTATTCACAACAGCAAAAATATGGAACCAACCGTGCTGCCCATTGAAAATGGACTGGATTAAAAATATGTGGTATATATACGTGATGGAATATTACACAGCCATTTCTATTATTATACAGTATTTTTACAGTACCTTTTCTATGTTTAGATACATAAATATTTATCATTGTGCTACCATTGTTTACAGTATTTAATACAGTTGCATGTTGTAGAGGTTTGTAGCCTAGAAGCAATAAACTATACCATGTAATCTAGGTGTGTAGTAGACTGTAACATCTAGGTTTGTGTAAGTGCTCTTTATGACGTTCACACAATGACAAAATTATCAAATCTCACATTTTCTCAGAACGTATCTACATCATTAAGTGACACATGACTATAATGTTGCTTAATTGAAAACACTAAGTGTATGTTCATAAGAAAAATGGTTGACATCAGTATCTCAAATTTAAAAAGAGAATACTAGTGAGTGTTAATTAATTGGTATCTTTAATGAATGATTTTGCTATTTTAATTTTATTTCTTAACTAATAGAAAATATATAAATGCAATTTATGAAATTGTACCAAATATGTAAATATTAATAAATTTATTTCCAAAAGAAATACACACATCTACAAAAGCACATATACACATCAGATTATTAATTTAACTTACAAAAATTTATTAAAATATAATTAATAGGAATACATATATAGTTAGCCCACATTAACCATTCTCTTGGAAGGCTCAGATAACTGCTCTGATTCCAAGGACATACATAGGATTTAAATTTTATTTTTCTAGATTTTAGAAAGCTAAAGATTTTTTTAAAACTCAGTCTTTAAGGGTAACATGGAATATGCTTTGGAATTATAAATAACAAACATTCTCCTTTTTCTTGACAAAAGGAAAAAGATGAAATAATTTCTATTTGACACAAACTGAATCATTTAAAGTTTTTCTACCAATATTCGTGTGTCATTTAACTTGTGTTTCAGTGTTTGCTTTATATGCCCCTCTCATTTTTAGTTAGGTGACATTTTAAAAATTATTTATTTCCTTTACATAGTTTGACTTAGATTTAGTCATTTACATAAATATTTCTATGAAAATGTAGATAATTACTCATGATTGGAGAATAATCAATGAATATAATGAGTAGTTATTTAATATTTCAATCTCTGACATGATGACGTAGCTCAACGGTGTTTAACATTTTATCCTTCCCAGAGACTTTTTTTGATCAGAGGGATTTGATTAAATTATGAAGGATGAATAAAATTTAATGATGGAATTTGTAAAATTAAAGAAATCAAGAGGATAAATTTGAAAATTTAAGTTTGGAAATTGATGTCAATTGCAATAAAGTTAAAAATGTAGTCATTCCGCAGAATAATTAGTGGCAAATAAAATTCTTAGTGATAGTGGGATTATGATTTTTAAAAACATTCATTATAATAGCAACAATATTAGTAAGTGTATTAGGAAAAGAAGCATGTAATGCCAAGTTTTAGCAACATTATCTAATTGTAGAACTTAAACATTTAAGATACTGTTAGCAAGACTAAAGATTTTGGTGTTTGTGATTGAAATAGAAGCAAACACATAGTTAGCCAGGCTTTGTTCTCCTCTGTCATGTCGATGATGAAAATAATTTCTAAGAGGCACTTGAAAATGGACAAACTAAATAACACATTAGGAGCCCCACATCTCTTATAGTCTGAAAGTATGTGAGTGTGAAGAGATAATTGATTTTAAAACGGCTAAAGTGTGAGAGTTTTCTGCTCAAATCTTAAGTGATACATTGATGAGATCTACTTTTTCCATTCTTGCTTCACTCTGAGCCTTCACAGGGCAGTCTGTAGGTATTTTTTGTTTCTTCACGAGATAACCTGGCATCTCCATTAAAGAATACAGGGCTTTCTTGTGACAAAGGTATGTGTTACAATTCTTTTGTTCTTCTACTAGCCCATTTCATTTAGGAAAAAAAAAAAAAAAAAAAAAAAAAAAAAATATATATATATATATATATATATTCTAGATGCAATGCAAATGAGGAAAAGTTAACTTAGAATGAAATCAAAGTAGAACATTGGCATTTTTACTTGAATAATTCATAGTGAAAAACAAGCCTAACATATAAAATATCTTGGAAGCTATCTTAAAGCATTTAAATTATTGTCTGTAGAGAATTAGTCAAGTATGTGCACATATTGTGTTGGTTTTGCCAATCAATATAATTTAAAGTAAATTCATAACCATCATGACAACGAACAATTATTGCATTTAGATTTTGTATTCAGTACAAGTATAAAAATAATTTATGCTTAGTCCAGCCTTTAAAGATAAATTTTTAAGATGAACACATCAAATTATGAGTGCCAAATATAATTAATATACATAATTTTAGGTAAATAAAAGGAATTTTTATTTTTAGTAAAAATAAACATGAGCTAGCTTTCATAAAATTCTAACCTAAATTTAATTATAAATAATTGAACAATTTTTAAAAATTGAGAAAAATATTCCAAAAAAACCCCAGAGATGCATCACACTGATATCTATTGAGTTACTTTACATGCTCTAACTAATAAGAATCAGAAATAACAACATGGCAATTGTTTTAAAATAAATAAAATATCTAATATTTATTAACAGCTTCTAAATACTTTGTGTGTGTTCAAAGTTTTACATATATTATGCTTTAAAATTACTTTTTTCTCATTCTAGAATAGTAAATTATATTATTAGACACTAAGTAACTTTTTAAAGGGCACAAATAAATTTGAATGCCCGAAGTAATTCTAGCTGTCACTGTTTCATTGAGTAAATTATAAAATTACATGACCATAATTATTCCAATTACTTACATAACCATGTGGCCTTTATATTTTTGACACCACAGAAGCTTTCTGGAAGTTTGTATGTAAATGCAAGTCACTAACTAAATGTATTTTAGGGTATGAAATTACCATATGTGCTACTATTACTGCTCTTCCATTTTATAGCATTAAATCGTGAATGATTAATATACGTAAACTTCTCATAAAATTAGTGCATTATTTTTCCCAATACAGTATTTTAAAATTTATCCCAGGTATTCTAATGATATTGACATATTTCTGTAGACTCTGAATAATTAGTAAAAATATTTTGTCACTAATTTCTTGTTTCTGTTTTTTTTTTTTTTTTTTTTTGAGTTGGAGTCTCACTCTGTTGCCCAGACTGGAGTGCAGTGGCCGCTCCCGGCCACCACAGCCTCGACCTGCTGGGCTCCGGGGATCCTTCCACCTCAGCCTTCCATGTAGCTGGAACTACATGGTAGTGCGCGCTACCATGACCAGCTAATTTTTGATTTATTGTAGAGATGAGGTCTCGCCAAGTTGCGCGGGCGGGTCTCGGACTTGTGGGCTCAGGCAATCCACTCACCTCAGCCTCCCAAAGCGCAGGATTACAGGCTGAGCCACCAAGTCCGGCTGTCACTAATTTCTTATTCTTCATTAATTTGTTGCTCCAACTAATAATTAGTCAAATGTAGAAAATTTTTTTATTTAACCTATTATGAGAATTTAATTTAAAGATTTATAGAAATTAGAACCAGACTTTAGATCGTGTGCTGTAAAATGAAAATTATTATTAGCCCACAACACACTCAGTTTGACTATACCAGGAATCTTGTCACTATTTTAACTATTTATTAACTTCTTAAGAAGAGTTATAATAGAGCACAGTCTCTGACATCACATAACTGCGGAGATGAAGAAACAAAGAGAAACCTACTCAGAACTGAATCTGGCCAAGGACCCAAAGAGGCAGCAAAGAAAACCTAGGGCCACTGAATGCTCTGTTTCAGAAACTAAACAGGAAATAACCCAAATGGAATTAAATCTTCAAAATGCTTCTCTGGTTGTGCAAGAGAATGATATGACCTGCCACAATAAAGGTAAAATATTTAGTCAATCTTCAGTATTACTATTCCAGGACGTGTTGGAGTGCAGATGTGTAGGGAAAGATAAGGGAATATTTTTCATTCATGAGGATCAGAACTAAAAGTCAGAATATGGTATTCTAATATGAACTCTGAAGACTAATTTTATTTACACATTGTTAAATTGTAGGCCTTAATAAATCACAGAGCATTGTATTTACTGTTGATGCAAAAAAGTAATATTTTGAGAGAAAGGACTATTATGGTAGATGCAAGGTTAGAAACCTGAGTTTAACCATATTATTTTCTGTGCATGTGAGTTCTCTTGTATGCAAACCTTCTAAACAGCTGTCTCCATCTGTCCATTCTCAGTGTTCCTATTTCCCTCTTAGCAGATTTACTGTCACCTCCAAAGTTCACTGCTGAGATACTGGGAATAATTTGTATTGTCTTGATGGCTTCTGTGATAAAAACAATAGTCCTTATATGTTGTAAGTATATTTTTGCATGATTTTAAAGAACTTTTCACTTTATAGATTGACAGTGCCTCTAAACATTTCATAATATTAGGGAAAAGGGCTTTCATTTTAATGCATATATATAAACCCAAAGTAGAATGTTTTTATTTTTTTTGAATTTTTCAAAACTATAAAAAATGGATAATCATAGAGATAATTTGTTAAAATTACATACATATATAGTATATTCTGTTTTCATAATTCTAAGACATGGTTTAGAAGACTGAATATTATATAGAAATACAAATTAATTTTGAAAGTGGTTAAATCAAACACAGCAAGAGATAATCATGTTTGAGACTTTTAACTACTGTTTACAAAGTTCTCATTGTTTCATTAATTTTTCTAGAAAAAAATCAGTTCTAGTTCAGATTGTTCCAATTCTAAATTTCACATGGATTGTTAAGGTAAGAAATTAAATTATTTAGATACTACTTTTTATAACAATTGCTTTATTTTTCTAGTTACTATAATAGTAGAGCCGAATAATTCTTCTCTGGTAAATATAAGTCAGCAAGGTACATAATGATTTTCTAACTTCTGATATTAATAGAGTTCATATTTTATCTGTATCTGAGGCATGCAAAATGATAATAGATTTTTTTTGGAGGGACATAAACACTAAAACTAAAGTATAAATGCTAATAAAGATTATAGAAGGGTATTTCCTTTTCTCAGAAATAAATGAAAATAATCATTTGAAATTATTTTACTCTCTTTTTGCCAATTGGCTTAAATTTCTTACTGCTATAATATGATGAGATGAACAATTGTACTATTCTAAAAAATCAGTATTGTTCAGAGATTTTTAAGATGTGTGTAATTTTGTTTGTTGGTTTTCTTTATATGAAGACACTATTGGGGGATAGGAGACAACCTATTTTCTGTGCATGTGTTTATGAGTGAATGGGTTTTTTGAAAAAAAAACAACTATATATATATATACACACACACACTAATCTGTGAAGATGCAAAGGTATGTCACGTACATATATGATTTTCTTTGCAAATATATAAACTAATTTTTATTTTAAAAATTCATATCATACTGGATAGTAATTTATAGTCCTTCTTTAGCATATAATTGTAGGCTTTGTCCAGAGGAATGGTGTACATATTCCAAAAGTTGTTATTACATTGGAAAGGAAATAAAAACTTGGAATGAGAGTGTGATGGCTGTGCTTCTATGAACTCCAGTCTGCTTTATATAGATAATGAAGAAGAAATGGTAAGATGCAAATGGTTCAAACACTTCATTAAAACTTATTTCAATCAATATTATATTTATACAAATCATCCATATGCTTGTACATATATTTGCCTTGTATATTTTTAAGTCTTTATAATATTCAATTGATCAACCTCACCATATTTTCTTTAGATTTACATGCTACTCATACACATTTGATTATTTTTATATTTTACTACACATAGAAAACCACACTTCTATAAAAGCTTTTACACTAAAACAGATTTTTCTTTTTAATTTTACTATATATAAAAGCTAACTATATCATGATTGTGCAGATTTATTACAATGTGAAGAGACATATGCAACACAAAGGTCAGGAAACAGAAGTTTCCAGCCAGCAGCCCCACCCTTTGTATGTTTTTGTCACTTTTCCAGCTTTCTACGCAAACCACTATTCTGACTTTTAATGTGATAAAGAAGCTTTGTCTGTTTTTGAATAGACATAAATTTTATTGCACAGTAGGCATTTATGGTTCTTTTCTTCCACAGCCATATGACTTGTATGAAATTTATCCATGTTAACACAGCCGTAGTTTGTTAATTTTCTCTGCTGTATTATGTACATAGAATATTTAGAATCCTTTCTTCTATGTCAGTAGACGAGGAAGTGAGTATCATGCCCTCAGGGACAAAGAGGCCACATGGATGGAACATTTGTAATCCTTGTAGCCTCTGATCTTCACCTACCTTCACCCTCACCTAACCTGATGTTAGTGTAAAAGAAGAAGCACTTCCACTGATTACTTATTGTTAGCAGGTTTCCTGTTAGATTTCTTTTTCCAGTGGTTCTCGCTGACAGGACTTCCTTTCAACACAGAGAAGGAATGAACTTACTTGAGCCACCTCTTATTGCTAGGTGCTAAAAAACAGCAGTCCCAGATCGTTTTCTTCTCTTGTTTGGGGAACTTAAGATGCCCAGAACTCCATTGATCCCTGATCCCAATCCCAAGCCATTTTAACTTTCTCTTTCCACATTTCAGATTTCTTCTATGTACGCCTTTTAATATTTTATAGCTTATAGTTGACTCTAGTAAGAAGTATTAGAAAGAAATGAAAATAAACTACTTAATCTTGAAAAATTAGCGTTCAACCAATATCTAATCAGATAAAAGTAGGGACTTCTCTAGATAAAAATGGTGTGGTACTCCACAAAAATAATTTTTGATTTTCTATGTCATTTATTTTTCTCTGTGGTAACTTCTTAATTCCCTCCTAAACTGCAAACTCTGAGTAACATAGTGAAAAAAATACATTGATTTAGTCACAATATCTGGAGAAATGAATGTTCGGTCTGGAAACATTCAAATCCATACTATCAATTTTTCAATGTGGATAATGATTAAATTATGTGAATCACAATTTTTCATAGTAACTTGAGAAGAATGAAATTACTAAACATTAGAGTTCCATTTGCAACAACAGTTTTCAAAAGAAGATGTAAAAACAGCTAACCAGAATATAAAAAAGGCTCAGTCACAATATTCAGAGAAATGTAAATGAAACCACAATAAAATATCATCTTAGACAAGTCAAAATGGCTATCATTAAAAAGCAAAAAGACAAACAAAATAACAGATGTTGGCAAGGATATGGAGAAAAGGGAACACATACACCACTGGGAAAGTAAATTAGTGCAAACTCTATGGAAAACAGTTTGGAGAATTTTTTTTTGAAAAACTAGCAATAAAACTACCATTTAATCCAGTAATCCCACCACTGGGTATCTACCCAAATGAATGGAAATCATATAAAAAAGGTACTTGCGCTCATATATTTATTGCCAAACTATTCACAATAACAAATATGTGGAACTAACCTGTGTCCATTAACAAATGATTAGCTAGAGAAAATGTTATACATATAATGTTATATATATACACACACACATATACATACACACATACACAAAAACATCTACACAAATCCTATGAAATAGCACATAGACATAAAAAATAAATCATGTCTTTTGCAGCAATAGGGATGGAACTAAATATTATATATATATATATATATATATATATATATATATATATATATTTTTTTTTTTTTTTTTTAGTTGGAGTCTCACTCTGTCATCCAGACTGGAGTGCAGTGGCCGCTCCTGACCACCACAACCTCGACCTGCTGGGCTCTGGCGATCCATCCACCTCAGCCTTCCAAGTAGCTGGAATTACAGGCATGTGCTACGACACCCGGCTGATTTTTTGATTTATTGTAGAGATGAGGTCTTGCTGCCCAGGCGGGTCTCGAACCTGCGGGCTCAGGCAATCCACTCACCTCGGCCTCCCAAAGACACGGGATTACAGGCTGAGCCACCAAGCCTGGCTTACTAAATATTATCTTAAGTGAAATAACTCAGAAACAGAATGTCACATATCACATGTTCTCATTTATAAGTAGGAGCTAGATAAAGGGTACAAATGAACATAAATAGTGAAATAGACACTGGAAACACTGAAGGATGGGAGGGTCGGAGAAGCATTGGAGATGAGAAAAATGTATGTATGTATGTACTTAATGGGTACAACATACATTATTCAGATGATAGCTGCACTTAAAGACCAGACTTCACTACCAGGCAATATATTCATGTAACAAAACTGCTTTTGTACCCTATAAATTTATACAAATAAAAAAAGCATTACAATTTTTTTTACTTTGCTATGTTGCTTAATATATTCACTTTTTAAAGAAAATATCCTGTGAAAAATACACTAATTATGCGTTTAAAAAGTTAATAAAAGCTATCATAATAATTATTTAAATAAAAATTCTTTATTTTCTATTAGAAACTTCTGGCCTCCCTGTTTCTTGAAACATGGATGAGCATCTCCCGTAGCAGCTGTAATCATCCATGGGTGTCAATAAATAGTTCAACATTCAAACGAGTAAGTTTTTTGGATTGGTGCTATAGAGAAGAAAAAATGTAAAAGGAGAAATTTAAATAAGAAGTTTAAGTTGATTTATTGGCATGAAGATTTTGAAAGTTAGTACAATGTTGATATAAATATTAAATAGTGGACTACAAGCCGGGCTCGGTGACTCAGCCTGTAATCCCGCGCTTTGGGAGGCTGAGGTGTGTGGATTGCCTGAGCCCGCGGGTTCAAGACCCACCTGGGCAACTTGGTGAGACCTCATCT